ATCTATGAAAAAGTTTCTCCACCCTCAGGTATCGGGAAATCTTTACTATAGAAGAATTATTGATTTCTCTGTGGGGTCATTGTAATTTGTGTGTCTGATTGCGCTAAATCTAGACTTCAAAGTTTCTAGCTATTAGGCCTGTCAACCAGCATGCCTACCTTCTAAAACTTGTGTTAATATTTTCTTCTTTTCACTTCCTTTATCCTAATATTTATCTACTTATAAGCTCCTTAAAAACCACAGGAAAACAAAGGCAGTAAGTAAATAAATGGCAATAAAACCTAGCTGGGAATGGAAGCATTTCTGACTCATCTTTGGAAGATCTATGAAGGAACAGTTGGGGAGGGTAGAGTACTGATGATAAGGAGAAAGTTGCCATGCATGGCTCAGGATCATCAGCCTCCAAACAGTATTACCACGCAGTGTGAAGAGGAAGACTTTTCACTGACATCCACTGAATTCCTTACACTTGAGTGATCCCTCTCCTGTGACACAAAAATTTAATTTCTGGAAAAATATCTTTAACAGATAATCATGGATGTGCATAAAAAATCCATCAAGGAATTTTACCACCAAATTTTCGTTTCTAATGAAAACCTACTGCCATTGCAAATGCTCAAAAGATGGAATGCTGTGTAACCATTAAAATTATGTAGAGATCTAGACATGGAAAAATATTTATTTTCTTGGTTTTTAACACTCCCAGTGTTTCTTGTTTTTAAGAGAAGGCAAACATTTTTATTTTTATTTTTTAGATTTTATTTATTTATTTTTTAGACAGGGAAGGGAGGGTCAGAGAGAGAGAGAGAGAGAGAGAGAGAGAGAGAGACATCAATGTGCAGTTGCTGAGGGTCATGACCTGCAACCCAGGCATGTGCCCTGACTGGGAATCGAACCTGCAACACTTTGGTTCACAGCCCGCACTCAATCCACTGAGCTACACCAGACAGGGTGCAAACATTTTTATTAGTTTTACTTTATCCTTCCATTATTTTGTAAATTATAGGACAAACCAAGGAAATAATTATGTTAATATCATTATGACCCCTCTACCAAAAAAATATAAAGTATGATATCAAAGAAGTAAAAGTTCTCTAATTTTAATCTGTACTGGAAAAGAGCTCTGTATTCTTTTCCTCTTAAGAAGTAAGCTTACCTCTGCTTCCAGAAAAAAACCGTAAATGTACTTTTCCCTATTCTTCCTGCTAAGTACAGCTAAAACCCTGACACTATATATAAAACAAAGGGAAGACTCTGACAGTTGAAGAGAAAGCAGACCAGCCACAGACCTCAGAACCTGAGGAACAACATAGCAGTGATTCCCACCCTGGCCAGTGTGGCTCAGTTGGGTGGGCATCACCCTGCAAACTGAAAGTCTCAGGTTCAATTCTCAGCCAGGGCACATGCCTAGGTTGTGAGTTTGGCCCTGGCTGGGGCACATACAAGAAGCAACCGATCGATGTTTCTCTCTCACATTGATGTTTCTCTCTTTCCCCTCCCTTCCCTTCTCTCTAAAAATAAATAATAAAGTTAAAAAAACAAAGGTCATTCCTTTGAGTTTGCTTTTTATCTCATATATCTCAGACTAGGTGCTGGAGAAGCTGGAAACCCAAAAATGCCAGTGGACACAAACAAATACAGCTCTAAGAAAGCCTATTTTCTCAAGTCCAAGGACAAGCAAATGAACAACCTAGAAAGACAGAAAAATTTTAAGTAATAACTACCTTACTCCAGCCAAGCATCATGGAAAAAAATTATGGGTCCCAACACCATCTCATCAGCAAAAGCCAAATCGGGAGTACATTATTTCCACTCTTATCTGGCTATAGTAAAGTGCTACACCTGCTACAACACTGGTGTGATATAAGATCAAGTGGGGGAAATAAGGCTCATCTGTTCTGGGCAGTAATGAGGCTCCTCATTCAGTGCTGGCAGTGGAGAAACCATGGGGAGCCTGGACTTCTACCCCAAATCAGCAGTAATGAGACATCCATCCTCCATCCCACTGGAGTAGTGTCAGGGGAGGCCTGCTGGTCAGGGCTTTCATCACGGCCAAGGAGCAGCAAGCGCAAACCCCGACCCTTACATGGTATCAGGGGAATAATGGGGAAGCAGCAATTAGGCACTACTACTCCTTCCACCCAGGGAGGAATCAGGTGAGACAGTGGAAAGCTAGAATTCCACCCCCACCCAGAAGTAGTTCTCCACCTTGGGTGTCATGGGAAGCTAAATGGGAGACCTGGACTTCCTCCCCCACCTGGCTATAATGAAATGGTGTCTCACCTTCCTCAGGTGGAGACCAGATAAAATGGGTTTAAATAAGAACCAACTTTGGCTCTGGCTGGTGTGGCTCAGTGGACTGAGTGCCAGCCTGTAAACCAAAAAATTACTGGTTTGAATACCAATCAGGGCACGTGCTTGGATTGCAGGCCAGGTTTCCAGTTGGCAGCATGTGTGAGACAACTGATGAAGATATTTCTCTCACACATTGGTGTTTCTCTCCCTCTCTTTAAAAATAAATAAATATATTTTTTAAAAACTCCTGAAGAATCAGCCCTCGCTGGTGTGGCCCAGTGGATTGAGTGCCAGCCTGCAAACCAAAGGGCTGCTGGTTCAATTACCAGTCGGGCAGGTGCCTGGGTTGCGGGCCAGGTCCCCGGTAGTGGGCGCACAAGAGGCAACCACACATTGATGTTTCTCTCCCTTTCCCCCTCCCTTTCCCTCTATCTAAAAATAAATAAATAAAATCTTAGAAAAAACTCCTTAAGAATCAAATTCTAGTAACATAATACCAAAAGAATCTAGGTTTCAGTTGAGAATTACTCATATCAAGGACCACAAAAATCTCAAACTGAATGAAAAAAAAAGTACCAAGAATGAGAGAACAAAGATAATTATCCAACAAAGATTTTGAATCAACCATCACAAAAATGTTCTTACATACAAGTTGGTAGTTACAGAATAGCCATGGGGATGTAAAGTACAGTATAGTAAATGGAGTAGCCAAAGAACTTATACCCATGGCCCATGAACATGAACAAAGGTGTGGGGATTGCCTGAGGGAGTGCTGGGTGGAGGGGGGCAAAGGGGAAAAATTGGGACTACTGTAATAGAATAATCAATAAAATATAATTAAAAAACCAAAAATGCTTCACAAGCAGGTCTCAGCAAAAAACATAGAAGATGGAAATTTTAGACCTGAAAAATACAATAGTCAAAATTAAAATTCAATGGATGGCCTCAACAACAGAACAGAGAGGACAGAGGAAAGAATCAGTGAAATAGAGCACAGAAGAATAGAAACTTAAAAACGAAAACAAAAACTAAGCAAACAACTAGAACAGGAACAGAATCACAGAAATGGACATCACATGGAGGGATTTCAGTGGGGACTGGGAGGAGGGAAATGGGGGGAAAGGTGCAGGGAAGAAGCATAATTGGTAGGCACAAAATAGATGGGAGGAGGTTAAGAATAGTATAGGAAATTGAGAAGCCAAAGAACTTATATGTACAATCCATGGACGTGAACTAAGAGAGGAATGCTGGAGGGTTGGGGGGTGCAGAGTGGAGGGCGGATAAAGAGGGAAAAATTTGGAAAACTGTAATAGCATAATCAATATAATATACTTTAAAAAGTCAAATGATGAAGCTATTGCTGTTAAAATTAGCAACAAGATAGGGATGCCTGATACAATTGAAAATTGTTTTCCTGGCTTTGGCTCACACAATAGAAGATGAAACAATCAGAAAATATTGCAAAGAAATAAAAATGTAACTTTCTTTGCCACAGATATGATGTAATATGTAGAAATTAGAATTCACTAGATTGGGAGTAAAAGGGAGAAAACTGTACTTGAACAATGATTAAAATTAAAAAAAAATAATTCATTGGATAATTTCATAAGGGGCTAGATACAAGATAAATTTATAAGAGCAGATAGTTTTTCCTCTATAACAGCAATGATGAAGTGAAAATGGGAAAAAGACCCATTAGTAATGATAACAAGAAATATATAAAACAAACTTGTTTAAGGAACTAGACTCATACAGTTAAATTTTAAAAATTGACAAATATAAAACAGTCACACAGACATACCATATCCCTGGATAAGAAGATTTAATAGATTTAATAGCACTATATTAAGGTAATGTAAAGAATAAATTAAAGGAAAAATGTAAACACAAAGCTCAATAATAAGATGGTGCATAGAAAATTTTAGCTAAAGAGCCTCTTAGAAGGATATTCATGCTCTTGAATGATTTTTCACAAAGGAAGGCTGAATATTAATGAATTAACATGTAATTTAAAAAGTTAGATAAAGAGAAAATAGTAAAGGTTAGAGCAAAAATTAAGGAAATAGAAAACAAAGCTATATTAGAGAGGATCAACAAGGCCAAACGTTGGTTCTTTGGAAAGACTAATAAAATTAGCAAGCCTCTGGGGAGACTGATGAAGGACAAATCTAAACAAACATACTATTAATTATTAAGACTTGACAACAACACACAGCAAGGAGTCTAAAAACTAACAACCACAGAAACCTCCATCCCTGACCCACATAGACTCCCATTCACTAGATTCTTTTTAAAAATTATTTTATTGTTGTTCAAGTACAGTTGTCTGCATTTACCCTCCCCTACTCCCACCCACCCCATCCATACCCACCTCCCTCCCCTGATTCCACCCCTCTTGGTTTTGTCTATGTGTCCTTTATAGTTGTTCCTGAAAATTCACTAGATTCTTTAATTCCCCATCAGTTGAACTCACTGACAGTAGTGTATCTTTCCCAAAAGCCAACAAAGCCATCACCTCAAAAATCACCACAGTGACTGTCAAGCCACAAACCTTCGTGCATTCGCTTTAGCGCCACGCACCACCAAGACTTAAAACGGCCTCTGAGGGCCACTATCGTTTCTGGCCATCACCCCTGCCACTGCCCCTTTCAGGGATATTCGTTTCGCACACGATCATAAGGGCTGTGAGGCTGTGATCTACTCACTCTGAATCAGGTGCAGTTACGAATCCGCCCAGACTTTATCCGTGAGTGACGTTGTCGGTCAAAAAACATGGCTGCTCCCAGGTGTCCCCACGTGAGGGGCGCCATCTTAGCATCTATTCCGTACAATGGGTGGTTCCACAGAAAGTGGGGGTGGCGTTATTCATGGGTAGAAACCTTGTGAATGCGAGCTTCAGGAGCACCTAGTCTTTGGAGCTGGGTTCTAATGGTCTGTGCAAAGTTTACAGAAGCAGAGGTGGCAAACTCCGATCCCTGAGGAGAGAGGAGAAGTTTCCAGATCTTCAGTGGAGATACTACTGGGGAGAGGGGGAAAGGATTAGTTTCTTCCTAGGAGATGTCACTAGGAGGAAAGAAGTTAGGATGGTACAGTCCTCCCTCCAGGCTAATACTATTGGGCAAGAGAGGGAAGAAGGCAAGGTGGTACAATCCTCTCCTTGGAGATATTGCCAGGAAAACGGGAAAAAGAGTAATGAAGGTTCCCTTCTGGAGGATACCGGTGGAGGAGAGGAGTGAGACATCAAGGTGGTACAATCTCCTCTTGATGGGGGGGGGGGGGGTGTTAGTATGGAAGAGCCTTGAATTACCGTCAATATTGATTTCCTGCATTATCCCACTAAAATAGTAGCCAGGAATAATAATTATAATGCTAGCCTTTGATATGGACAACTAATGTTTTTCAGTATACCCTCCTGCAGAAAGCCTTCTCTGACAAGAGGTAGAGAGGGCTCTTTCTCCACTGAAGGCATTTCAAACCCAACAGGCCCTGGCTAAACTTCAGTATGGATTGCTGGGTACTCAAATGATACTCAGATCTCTCTGGGCCTCAGCTTAAGAATCAAGAGAGTTAGATTGTCAGCCTCACAGAGTATTCCATTTTCTTTGTCTCTCCTATAATATTTGTGAATTGAATGGGAGATAGAATGGCAAATGTGAGAATATTGCTGTAACACACACACTTCTACAGAAGCTACCGAAACTTATTATTGTCATGACTTCTCTGCATTTCAAATCCTGGGCTCTGGTAACTTCCATCATCAATGCCTCCTTGGCTTATCTCAGACTTGGGCCTTTTTTTCCGTTTTTATTGAATTTATTGGGGTGACATTGGTTAACAAAATTATACAAGTTACAGGTTCACAATTCCACAACACATCATGCGTACACTATTGGGCTTTTTTTTAAAACTCTACCAACACCTATGTTGTACTCTTCTGATCTGGATTCATGTCCTATATTAGTGATTTCATTATCAATGTCTCTTTATTTGGACCCTGAATTTAAACTGCTGCTAACCCTTCCATAATATATGCCCTTTATAGATTGAGAGACTAGGCATACGTTAATTTTCCACTATCAGTGTCTCTCTGGTCTAGATCTCAACTATCAGACCCTGCTTAACTTTTCAACTATCAGTGTGTTTTAGATTCCTCCAAAACAGTCCTCTGTTATAGATGTCTGGTTTCAAGTTCAAACCAGAGAAGTAATGATGTTTGTAAAGTAACAGAGACCCAAGTTGAAGAACTGGACCTAAAGACCATTGAAGGTAGACATTTATTCATGGGAAAATGTCTGCTTATAGGCCTGGGCTTATGGCCTATAAACAAGATGCTGATTTCTGGAAAAAGCATTAACTGACATTTTCAGACCAAACCAAGAAGAATGATAATGGATACATTAATATTTTTCTAGGATATAGACATGGAATAGTTAATGGAGGTCCAGGGTTCAAGGTCAGAAGTGATGGTTTGTCATTTCAGAGATTAAGTTATAAAAGACCTTGGCTGCCATTTTGTGTGTTCATGCTTTCTCTCTCTCCCTCCCTCCCTCTGTTCCTCTTATCTCTCACTCAGGGAGAAGCCACCTGCTATGTCACAATGGCACTCAGGCAGGCTTTGGAGAAGCCCATGTACCAAGAACTCCTGCCAATAGCCGGTGAGGAACTGAGGCCTCCAGCCTGTACCCATGTGAATGAGCCATCTTGAAAGTGAAACCTTCAGCCCTAGCTTACTGCAATCCAAGTTGATAATTTAACTGCAATGTTAGGAGAGACCCTGAAATAAAACCACTCAGCCAAGCCACTCCCAAGTTCTTGATTCCACAGACACTGTGAGATAATAAATGTTTGTTGTTTTAAGCTTCTATGTTTAAGAGTAATTTGTTACATAGCAATAGATAACTAATGCAGGCATTTAAAGTTTTGGTATTTCACTCATCATGGATTTTTACATTAATTTAGACTTTTGAAAATATTGTACTAAAACATTTATCTTGATTACTGAGTTTTTTGTCCCCCTCCCTAAATTTTGCACTTTGAGGTGAGTGCCTTACTTGCCTCACTGTAGTGTGAGCCCTACTGTGAAACCTTGTTCTCTAAAGTCATAGACAATCAGAAATTTTGCCATTTGAAATTGTATCAGTAAGAATAAAACATACCACTCTTGTTTGGAGGATCCAAGCCACACAGAGAAGCAGCCTCCATTTCTAAGCCAGGCTCTGAGCTTCAAATAAGGAGCATCTGGAGCAAACATGTCATATATATTTTTGCTTTAGTGTTTCCAAATAAAAATATCCTTGGATCTACTTCACAGTCCAGAGGTAACATTAACTCTTTTACATACCAACATGCTTTACTTTGGGTTAATCAAAACACTTCATTTAAATTTTAACTAAGCTCAGTGCTTCCCCAAAACCCTATAGTAATTCTATTTTTTTTCTTTGTTTGGTGAGATTTGGGTGATCAACCATCTCCATTTGCTCAGGACTAAAGGGTTTACTGAAGCAATGGACATTCACTGCTAAAATTAGGAAAGTTCTGGGAAAACTGGGACAAGTTGACTACCCTAGATAAGATTTCCCCATGGTTCCCGTGGTCTGTGGTCTCCCCTGTGGCAGCAAGTTATTTCACCCATTTCTTTGGGACTGTGGATGTGACCCTGGTGGTCTTTATCAGATAGGCTTTATCAAGGTCATTAATGTTGGAAGGTTTCACAGAGGTTGACTTTGAGATCAGTCCTAGTATACCTTGATGGTGGAGAAATTAACAGGCTTGGGTTCAAGGTCCAGATCAGAGGGATATTGATGGAGTAACAGTTAGTTGAAGGCTTAATGCCAAACCATACCAGATAAGCATGGTAGAAGAGTTATTAGAGCTCTGGATTAGAGCACGGTAGAAGAGTTATTAGAGCTCTGGATTAGAGGTCATACTAGACCTTTACTAATAACATTAAAAATTGGTACAGAGTTGGTGAAAATGTTAATAAGGGTCTGGATTTTAAATTTGGACAAGGGAGCCATTGATGGTGAATTGGATAACAAATGACCAAATTCAAGAGCCAGCCAGATAAACCATGATGGTGGAAGAGTTAATAGATGACAGCAATTTGAGCTCTCTGGTCTATACCAAGTCTGAGGGGTGTAGATAGATGGTGCAGCCAGCCAGTATCTGTGTATGAGAGATGGAATCTGGCTTCTGGTGGCCAATGGGATGAAACAGCAGCATGTTACTAGGAAGAAGCCTCTGTTGCTATTTGCTCAGTGAGAGAGACAGGGTCTAGCCAGAGTTGCTACAGAAATATAATTACCCAATGCCTGAAGAAGTTGGCTTTAGTCTTTTCAGCCAATGGTAAAATGTTACCAGGTAGTAACCCCCACTGCCACGTGAAATGAAGCAGCCAAAGTGTCTCTGGAGAGGCACAGTTAGCAAATAGCTGAGAGTAAGAATCAGGCTCCAGCAAGGGTCTGTAAATCAGCAGAGGTCCCCATTGTCCACTGCAGGTAGAGGGCAGGGCATAGGCTGAGGGAATACAGATAGATGACACAGCCCTGCACAGAAAGTGGAAACGGGTAGGGCAAGGCCTGCGGTTGCTTTTACATGGTGCAGCTGACCAATGGCTTTGTGTGGGAGATAGGTTTTAGTCTCCATGGCTACTGAAATGTGAACATCCCTGTTGCTATGCAACAATAACTTTACCGTTCCAAATTATATGAGTAAGAATGAAACCTCTCACTCTTGCCTGGAGAATCTGAATCACTTTGACTCAGAACAGCAGCCTCAGTTTCCAAACCAGGTGGAAGAGGAGAGGGGAACTTAGCATGAGGGTGTCCAGACAGATGACACATTAAAAAGAAAAGAAACAAATGAAATTTAATAATATACTTTATATAAGCTACATATCTAAAATATTGTCATTTCAACATGTAATCAATTTTTTAAATTATCAATAAGATATTTGGCATTGTTATTGTTGTAATAAGTCTGTGAAATCAGATATATATTTTATACTTACATCTCAATTAGAATGCTAAATATTCATCAAAATATTTGATTTGTAGTTAGAGTTCATAAAATTTAGTTGAAAATCGATTAATATTCACAAGTTATTCCAAACATACTTCAGAAGTTTTCCAGTAACTAAACTGAGTATGTATTTTAAGTTTTAATTAGTTAAAATAAATACAATTTAAAATTTAATTCTCAGTCTCACAAGCCTCATTTCAAGTGCTCAGTAGCAATATGTGGTTAGTGTCTGTCATGTCAGATGGCACAGTACTAGACAACATGTCATTGATGGATGCAGTTGAAAGAGCCATGGTTTTGAGTTGTAAACCAGAGGAGCATGGATGGAAGAAGACTTCATAGAGGCCAAGGATAAAGATATATGAGATAGGTGTTTGGGTAGTTGGTGTTGCAGGCTGTGAAAGAGAAGAAATTCACAAAGAGAAGAAAGTGCAGAGGGTAAAGTTTTTATTTTAGTTTCTCAAAGAAGGGAAAGGGCTACGTGCAGAGATGTGCATCAGCACCAGCCCTGAGGGGTGGGGGCTTTGAGAATTTGCCAGGTAATGGAGCAGTTGTAGAGCAGGATGTTTCAGCTGGGCTGCAACTTGTTTCGATATTATCTTTGGGTACAGGGTCTGGTGGTCATTGTGGTCTGGTATGTCCTGTTCTGTAAGTTCCAGGAGCCTCAGTGCCTTCAGGGCTCTTCCAGTAATTTTCTAGTCCTGAGGATAAGGGC